GCGCTCAGCCCCGACCCCCAGCTCACCAGCAGGGAAGAAGCTGGTGCTGAGCATGGGGAAAAGCGGCCCCTCACCCACCCCATGGCCGGTGCTCCCTGCTGAAGCCACTCGCAGCCAATGTGGGGCTGTCTGGAGCAGGCACAGGCAGCCTCATGTGGGCTACAGGTGGCTGCAGCGTGGGGCACTGGCCATAGGGTGGGTGAGGGGCCACTTATCCCTGCGCTCAGCACCAGCTTGTAACCTGCCCCACTGCAGGCCTGACAGTGGGACCAGGTTACAAGGTGATGCTGAGCGCTGGGGGGAAAAAGCCCCGCCCCGTGGCCGGTGCCCCATGCTACAGCTGCTTGCAGCCAGCTTGGGGCTGCCTGTGCCTGCTCCGGACAGCCCCGCACGGGCTGCGAGTGCCTGCAGCACAGGGCGCCGGCGAGGGGCTGCTTTCCTCCATGCAGGGAAGGAGCCCAGGGAAAAGCTGAGTGTGGGGGGGAAGTGGCCCCTCTCATGCCCGGAACCCCAAGCTGCAGGCACTCGCAGCCCGCACAGGGCTGTCCGGACTGGGCACAGGCAGCCCCGTGCAGGCTGCAAGCAGCTGCAGTGCAAGGCACTGGGTGTGAGTGGGGAGGGGCTGCTTCCCCCTGGCGCTCCTTCCTTGCCTGGGGTCGCCCCGCCCCCACTTACCTGAGCTTCCTGCACTGCCAGTCCACAAACTGTGGCAGGGGCTTCTGGCTGGGGGGTGGGGCCAGGCAGGCCACGCTGTTGTGGGAGCCCAGCAGGCTTCCCCTGGGTCCTACTGCCCTTGGTTCCTGTCATTTTTGACAGGAACCAAGGGCAGAGAAATATTAATTTTCTAAATTTTTTTTAGTGGCCCTGCATACCAGATAGAATGACCTTGCAGGCCAGATCCAGCCTGCGGGCTGTATTTTGCCCACCCCTGTTGTAGAAGATGCCTTCCAAGTGTTTTGATTCCTTTGACCAGTAACTTACTGCAGTAGCACAGTCGACACATCTCTTACTAATTTTTGCCCAGGCCTTGGGTTTTAAGCTAAGACGTATAAAGCAAACTGTTTGGTTTGGTTCTTTTATTCTTAATATTTCACTGTCTTTCAGTTTATGGTTACTTGTCTGTCTTTGGTGATAAGTTCTAGGATAGCTACCTCAGATGCTTGGTGGTAAGCCCTAGGATACCAAATCAACTCTGACCATTGTCCAGGTTATGGATAAGTCCACAGGTTCTGAAAACCACACAATGTCTCTGACCTTAAGGGTAGTGAAGGCTAGATTCCCAGGATTTCTTAAAATCTTTTTCAAGGCCTAAAGGACCGACCTACTTCTTACTTCAGTAAGAATCTTTGGGAATCCTTTGGATCACAGCTGTCAAACTCACTTAGCTTCTTAGGCTAAGTGCAGACAGTCCAAAAGCCTGAAGCTGAATCGATTCAATCATTGCAGGTTTCTCTAAACTGCATAGATTGAACCAATAAGCAAGTGAACTGATGTTTACTTTTCAAACAGGAAAGGCACCCAAACCCCTGCAATGGCCCAGCCCAATAGCACCCCCCAGCCACATGCCCTCCTCAGCTCCTAGGCAGTGGAGGAATGGGTGAGAGGGAAAACCCACCTCTCCAGCCCATCACTGAACCCCCAGCCAGGAGCAGCCCAGCATGGGGAGCTTGAACCAAGGGCTTTACTCTGTTTTGGGGGCCAACTGAGGGAGGGTGGATAGGGGTCGGGAACCAGAGTGGAGCTGGGGTCTTGTAACCATACTCTCTTCAGCCTCCCAGCTGGTTGAGGACCTGGGGGAGGGTGGGGTGGGGGGTGAAGTCCTTGCTGGGGCTTGGCTCCTGGCTCCCAACTCTGGGGTGGAGCGAAGTCCCCTCCTAAGGACTTCCTCTCTCCTCCACCCCCAGCCAGTCCAGAGGCCGAGAGGTGGTGTGGCTCTGGGGGTAGAGGGGCAAAATGAAGCCCCCTGCTGCAGGCTTCCCCCACCACCCCCAGCCAGCCAAGAGGCTGAGGAGGGGGCATGATTCTTGGGTCCCAGTTCTCGGGGCAGAGTCGAGGCCCAGTGCTAGCTTCTTTCTCCATACCCCCACCCCTAGCCAGCCCAGAGGCTGAGAAGGGAGCATGGCTCTGGGGGGCAGTCAATCCTACATTGCAGGCTCCCCGCTCTCTGTATGTCAGCAGCACCCAGCTGGTGGTCTGGTGATCCACCCCCCTCCCTGTGCCAGTAGTAGTCAGCTGTGGGGGGTCTGCTCCCCTACCCCTACCCACTCCTTAGTCAGTCAGAGAAAGAACAGTGCTCCAGCTAGGGAACAGAGGGGTTGGGGTAGACCCTGCTCCCCTGGAGCAGCCAGCATAGCCCAGGGCTATTTTGAAAGTGGTTTAAGTACACTGAACTTCTGTTCTGTTACAGGTTTAAATCAGTTTCTTATCACTTAAACTGATTTATGTGTACCTTCTGTCCCTAACCTTAGGAGCCAGATTTGGACCACAGACCCCTTGGGGGCTAGATCCAGACCCCAGACTGCCTCAGGAGCTGGGCAAATGGGAGGCAGGGAGCTGTAGGCGTTAATGCAGCCAGTGCTTACCCCTGTTGCTGACACTCATCCCTAATGATGTTTCATATGCTAGATTTTGGCATTGGTCCCTGCACCTTTTCCCCTCTCCCCTGAATTCCTGGGTGAAATGACATGGCTCTACAAATGATACAATCCACAGGCTGTTTGTTTGACAGCCCTGCCCTAGATTGATTGTAATTTTGGGAGCATCAGTTAGTTGGTTTGTTGCTTTCTCTTTAGATTACTAAGGATGGCTTGTTGCCTTAGACAAGTAAGTAAATCGTATCTGTGCTATCTAATTTAACTTTAAAATAATGGGTAGGAGTGATAGTTGAAATACATGGATTTTCTTGTATTTTACAGTAGGCCAAGTGTTCTTTTGGTGATCTTTAATGATAATCTGTTCAGAGCTGTCCTTTAATGTTAAATATCCAGCCGGAAAATCAGCCATGACTTGTTAAGTTAATGATTGAATTATCTAGTTGGGCTCATGCCTGAAATACAGGGAAAGCATTACCTAATGTTTGTCTCTAACCTAAGTGGCACAAGGAAATGCTAATGAATCTCAGATTGAGAAACTGGGTCATCTATCTCCCTGCTTTACATTGAGTACCATATTTATTCTTTTCTTGTGTTAGTATGGTTAAAAGAGCATGTTTAAATCATACAGAATGTTTTAAATACTATGTAGGCCTAATGTTAACATTTTATTATTGGAAGCATTAGTTAATTTCTAGTTTAATTTAAGACATTGAAACAAGTTAGCTTGGTCCTGTCCAAAAGAAATATCTCTAATTGATAAAATAAATAAATATGGGAGGAACAATATTAACATCACAGCTCAGAGCAGACTTGGTTTGAAAGGTTTTAAGCCCTTAACCATATGGAGTTAATGTGCAAGCAATTTCAGTTCCTCATCACATCAACTCTATTCAGGTTTACTGCCATAACAAATTAGTGTTAGGCTGGTTATTTAGAGCCTGTTTTAACCCTTCCCTTCCCTAAGTTAAATCTTGGGGATATTCTTTTAGGTAAGAGTTCAGAGTCTGTCTTTAAAGAATTCTGTCTTCTAATCTTTTCTCTCTGTAGTCCCTCTTGCAGTAATGCTTTAACACTTCACTACAAACTAATTTGTTTTGTTTTTTTAAATCAGTTGTTGGGTTATAGTGGGCTCACACACCAGCTTTGCTGTAAATTTTTCTCTTTATCGTCTGTTCTTTTTTTAAGGACCTTATCTCCCATTCAACAGTGTGTTCCATTTTGAAGTGACATCAGATTCATAAGATGTTAAACAAAGCAAGGAGTGTGACTGTGTTCCCTCTCTTTTGGAGTATGGGATTCGGAGCTTTTGGCCCTATTTTAACTGAACCCCAGCAGTGAACTGGTGTCTAATTTGTACATTTTGCTATAATTACTGAAGTTTTAAGATTAATTAATTAATGTTTGTCTCAGAAGTTTGTCATTGTATTTTGTGTAAATGGCATCATTCTGATTTTACAAGCATCTATTGATTCTGTGCTGAAATAGGCGTCAGATCCTTTTTTAAATAGTCTGTCTTGCCACTAGCCACTGCTAGTTTATAGCTCTTTTTAAGTAGCACATCAACATCCTTGGCTATCTGTTTTAGCTGCAGGGTAGCAATATGGCTTGTGGTATGAAGACTTTTTTAAAAAAAAAAAAAAGCTACAGACCATCTCTGTTCAAACAAACAAATAT